GCCGCCGCTGACATCTCTCAACACCCGGCTCCTGCAATGTAACGATCCACCTGGCACGGAGCGCACGAGTCGGTTTCGTCGCTCCGTCTCCGCGGTGGAGGTGCCTTTCCAACGCCGTCGTTCCATCGCCGTCACTGTGAATCGCGCACTCGAGTTGCATCCACGAATTGAACCTCCGGCTCGCCGCAGTAGAAAAAGATAAAAAGAAGTCCTCGTAAAAAAATGTCAAGTTTGGAGTTCCGAACAAGGAGGACAGCGGGTAGGGTTGTCTGCTCGGTGCTCAAGGTCTCAAGAGCACGCACGGGTACACTTGTTGGTACGCACGTCTGTGTGTGTGTGCGTCTGGGGAGCGGTGGCGCAGCGGTTAGCGCACTGCGGTACGAACGGGGCGAGCCGAGTTCGATTCCCGCTCACGCCCAAAATAAGAGCGGTTCTGGGCCTTCAGTAGGTTGCTTTAGCCTCAAAAGAGTACCTGGTGCGGTGTGTAAACATCGCCACTGGGGAGACAAAGGCGGCCGGGCGTGGTGCTGGCCTCCCACCGCCTCGTATGTCCTGCCAGCCTTCATTGGGCTACTCGTTACCAGCACTTGCCCGAAATGTATTTTAAGGTTATACGGGGGGTCTTTGTCTTTGTGTGTGGTGAGTGGTGGTGCGGTGGTTAGCGCACGACGTTACGAATCCAACGACGGCCGATTCCCGCTCAAGGCTAACATCAGTGACGAAAGCCTGAACGGGTCCCCGCGCTTCCCGAAGGTCGGATCAGCCTGAAATAAGTTCCGTGTGCTGTGGTGATCGTCAACAAAGGGGAGGGGGGAGGGAGAGACAGAAGCGGCCGGGCGCAGCGTTACTGACCACACCACACTTCCTCTTGCGCTGGTGACGATCTTAATAGGTGCTCGCTAACAGCACTTGCCCCAACAGTCTATGGAGGCTACATTGGGTCGGGGTTTTATCCTTGTCATTGTCTTTGTACGTGCAAAATAACAACACTGCAATATAATATTCGCGCAGTCCGTGTGAGTGCCCAGCTCGCGTGCGGATACCAGATGTGGATTATATTATTACATCGCTCGAGAGATTGCGAGGGATCAATGATGACTCGGATCATCACAAAGCGCCCTCCTGTTCGCCGGGCCGTCTCACTGCCCTTCAACATCTTAATAGCGCAGACGAGTGGCAGCAGTCGCGATGCGGCACGTGTCGTCTGGCACGTGGCCTCCAAGCGGGCGTTCCTTTGCCAGTAGGGGGCGATTATTGCTGCTGTGTGTGTGAGAGAACTGTGGTGTAGCGGTTAGCGCGCTACGCTACGAACCTGGCGTCCCGGCGACGATTATCTGAACCGGTCCTGGGCCTCCTCTAGGTCAACTCAGCCTCAAATCAGTGCCTGGTGCGGTGCATCAAAACATCGCCACTAGGGAGATAATTGCGGCTGGGCGTAGTGCTGGCCACCCACCCCCTCGTGTGTCGTTCTGGCCTTCGTAGGTGCTCGCTAACAGCTATACGGGGGATCTTTGTCTTTGTATATCATCTCAATTGTGCGATACATATTTTTTTCGAATTTTGGCAAATGTGAATGCAGCCCCCGGCACACAATGCCGAACAAAAATAAAAACAGGCGGTATAACTTACGGCTAATGCAACAACACCGCCGCAGTAATTGATCGGGGCGTCCGCTGGATTCGAACCCGGATAACTTCTGTAGACAAGCGGCGAACGCGCCACCGCGGAACCCCGGCCTCGGGGCGGGGGGCCAGGCCGCCATCCAGCAGTGGATTGACCATGGCCAACGGCGGTGCGTGGTGAACGACCGCGCTCGGAGCAGAGTCTTGGCAGATCGGCGGGGGGGGGGGGGGGTGTCCAGGCGGGCCGATTGAAGTCGGGCAAAAATGTTGCCCATTAACAGCGTGGGCAGTTGCCGTCGGGTTTCGTCGAGTGGAACAACGGAGGATGGATGAGCAGTGCGCAAAGAGGGACTGAGAGGGGCGCGCTGGAAATTACACTGAGAGGCAGGGAGAGGAGGAGCGGCGTGGTTGAGGTGCCGGGTGGGTGGGTGAGGAACCACGTGGGTGAGAGAACATACGAGGCGGGTTTGAGACATCGTCGTGTGGACCTTTAGGGACACAAAAGAAAGTGAGCGGGCCGGAGGCGTCGCTTGACACGGCACCAGCGTCCGCGTTTAACCGGGGTGAGACGCTCAAGAGGTCAGCAGTCGAGTCTCATTTGCAGCAGTGACCCCGAGGTCACTGAACATGACGACAAAAACGAGGAAAAGTACCGCAGGGTCGAATAAGGTCGAGAATAAACGTGGCACGTCTTCTTGGTTCTTTCGGTAAAGTCACGCGGAAGGGAAGTAATGAAATAATAAAAATAAAACATAATAAAATAATTCTCACGGACGTTTCGGCCACAACGCAAGCAGCCGTCCTCGGGTGAAGAATTCTTGTTCACCGAAACGTCGTGAGAATTATTTTATTATGTTTTATTTTTATTATTTTATTACTTCCCTTCTACGTGACTTTACCGAAAAAACCAAGAAGATGAATCCCTGCAGTCACGAAAGCTTTAAATCGAAATTTAAACGTGGCACGTGCGGGCACACCGAAGGGCCTTGCTGGCGGGGACGTCCTCCGCGGAGATGATGGAGCGAGCGGTTGATGAACGGCAGTATCGGGCGACCGCGAGGGATGGCGACGGTTCGTGGCGTCCTTCATCCAACAGTGGATCGATCGTGGCTGGGCAGTGTTGGCCACGGTGCTGCTGCTGCTGCACGCGGCTGCCTGCGATCCAGCGCTGCCGTGGAGGCAGCAGCGAGCGAGGGGTTGGTGGTTCACCACGCACGCAGATGCTGCGTGACTCTCCCTTCACCCGTGAGTGGACTTCGAGGTGGTGGCACATCCCTGGCTCGCCATGAGTAGGCAGTACAGCAAGTGGGCGTGATCGTCATCTGTTTCCAGCTGAACGGGGATAGAGCGTCGCACCGTCGCGCAAGGCGTGCGGTTTTCTCCGGGCGCCCCTGTTTCCTCCTCCAACGTGGACAATAATAACAAACACGATTCGTCGTTGATTAGCTTGCTGATCGTAAAACCATCACGCGAACTCCCGGTTATCCTCGTAGCAGCAGCAGCTTGATCTTGGCTCGGCCATCGAACCAAGGCGGTGGCCACCGCATCATCGCGCGGCGCTTTCAGGTTCGCTTCTGCGGCCGTCTGGAACGCTCTTCCCTCCGATATCAGGAAACTACTGGGCGCGATGCACTTTAAAATCTGGAATTAAAACACATTTATTTAGAACTGCTCTTTGTGTTTTAGTTTGATGTCCTTTGCCCGATTCGCACTGTCGGCTACGTCCGGTGCGACATAAATTACACGAACATATATAAAAGCAAGGTACATTTCCAGACGTTGTTAATGATCACGACGATGACGCGAAGGAAGAACGGGGCAGCGATGCGACAACACTGCGCGAACGGCCGAGCCACATCCAAAAAAACGAACGAACGAACGGACGAATGAGGGAGTCTAAGAACGACTCGAGCGAGCATCTTCATAGAAGGCACGACTATACCGATCGATTCCTCTCCGGGGCCGCGTGGCTCTCGTTGCCAAGCAAATCCCAGGCCGTCCAATTACGGCTCCCGCTCAGCCGGTGCTTTGTGAACACCGCCTGTGCGTCGACATGGAGGCGCCTGGAAAGCCTGCATCGTAAAAGACAATGAGTGATGTTGGTGGTGTACCACCCAGTTCCTTCAAACGCTCATCTCTCTTTCTTTGTTGTTATTTATTGCTGTTGTTGTTGTTGGGGGTGGTGGTGTTCGAAATTGAACCCAGCTGATGATAACACATTACGACAATGGGTATCTGTGTGTGAGACTGGGTATCTGTGTGAGCCTTCGAGTCTCTGTGTCCGTCGGTGTGTCTGTGTGGGTCCGTGAAAGTCTGCGTTTTTGCGTGAGTCTGTTGATCTCTGTGACTCTGTGCGTCCCTGTGTGAGTATGTGGGTCCCTGCGTGAGTATGTGGGTTCCTGTGTGAGTACGTGGGTCTCCGTGTGAGTCTGTGGGTCCCCGTGTGAGTCTGTGGGTCCATGTGTGAGTCTGTGGGTCTCAGTGTGAGTCTGTGGGTCTCCGTGTGAGTCGGTGGATACGTGGTGAGTATCTAAGGGCAGGTGATGGGAGACCGTCAGGCCTGATCTTAGAGTTCACCGTCTCTCTACTGTGCAGCGGCTGCATGATCTGGCGGAAGGCAGAGCGCGTTGGCAATGAGCCGTGGAGGTACCATCAGCAGCTTTTGACCACGATTCTTTAGAACGGCTTTTCGTGTTTAGTTTGTTGTCCATCCCCCGCACCTCCCGATCGACACGGTTGGCTACGTAAGGTTTAGAAAGTAAAGTTCGACACGCATACATACATAAAACATACATCTTCATCTCGACCTTGCACCTGGTCAGTGCTGGGGAGCGGTGGCGTAGTGGTTAGCGCGCTGCGCTATGAACCCCGTGGCTCGAGTTCGATTCCACGCTCACGGCCACGGCCAGTGACCATTAACTGGATCGGTCGTGCGCCTCCCCTAGGTCGACTCTGCCTCAAATATGTAAACATCGTCACTGGGGAGACAAAGGCGGCCGGGCGTGGTGCTGGCGACCGCCCACCCCCTCGTGTGCGGTTTCGGTCTTCAGAGGTGTGCTGCTCCTTAACAGACTGTTGGCACTTGTCCCAACAGTCTGTTGAGGCTATAGGGGGGAACTTTGTTTTTGTCTTTATTGGTCAGTGCTCCCGACTGCCAAGGAGGAGACCGTGGGATCAACGAGTGGTCGCCAGGTTAAACCGGCCGACCCATCATCTTCGCGGGGCAGATAAAATTGGTACCAGGTTGTAAGGAGTTCAACGGTGGTTTGACCTATGTGGGCGGATCAGTCCAACTCTCATCATTATCATCACCACCGCCGAATTCATCATCATCGCCATTCTCTATCTTCTGTTGTCTGATGCTTGTTTCATCCGCAGCGCTTCGGCATCTGTTAACGGGAGCAGAGGAACGGAAAGGAGACGTTGCACCACCACCAACAACAACCAACGGAACAACCACCACGACCGACAACAACAACCACTGTCACACGGAGACGGCCACAACTGCCACCATCACCAACAATATTAACACACAACCACTAGTAACAACAATAGCCACCATCACCACCAACAACCACCATCACCTACGGAATATCCATCACCACCACTACCACCAAAAATAATCAACACCAACGAAAGCAAACAAGCAACAACCACCACCACCATCAACGAAGCAACAACCACCACCACCGCCACCACCAAAACAAATTCTCAGCACTACAAGTGCAAGAATAAGCAAGGAAAGAACCACAACCACCACCAACTGAACAACCACAACCTACCTCCACCAGCAGAGACAACAACAACAGCCACCACCACCCAAGGAAAGGAGCCCACAACCGCATCCACAGCCCCCGTCTGTCCTCTCTCCCCGCGCGCGCGCGCGAGCGAGCCGGCGAGCCAGCAGCCATGGGCGTCCTGGGACGTAGCGCTCAGGCTCACCAAGGCTCGTCCAGGGGCGGGGGAGCCGTGCCCGCTGCTGCCATGCTGCTGCCCCTGGTGCTGGCCCTGGCACTGCCCCTGCCGGGCCCCGGCTGGGCCCAGAACGAGACGGAGCCGATCGTGCTCGAGGGCAAGTGCCTCGTGGTGTGCGACTCCAACCCCACGGCGGACCCGGCAAGCGGCGCCTCCTCGCTGGGGTTCACGGTGCGCTCGGGCACCGCCAAAGTGGCGTTCTCCGTGGTGCGGAGCACCAACCACGAGCCATCCGAGATGAGCAACCGCTCCATGATCATCTACTTTGATCAGGTGAGAGGATGGCGGGTGGGGGAGGGGGGATGGAGGGATTTTGATGAGAGATGATTGGAGAGAGATTGATTGAGAGATAGAATGAAGGAGGAGAGAGAAGGAAAGCGAGGGAATGGATGGATGGATGGGATGCTTTTTGGAGATTTTCAGTCTTATATCGAGACGCATAGACTTGCATAGAGATGCATAGACTTACATAGAGACGCATAGACTCACGTAGAGACGCATGGACTTACATGGAGACGCATATACTTACGTAGAGACGCACATACTTACGTATAGACTTATATAGAAACCCACATAATAACGGAAAAACGCTTAAGATTTACACAGCCTACTTGGCTTGTGCGGTGACGAATTGTTAACTACCTCGCCTGGTATACAGGAAGTCGTGGGTTCGATCCCGAGCCTGACGACTGCTCTATATTTGGAGTTCGCATGCCTCTCTCCCCGTGGTCGCCTGCAATTTTCTCCGGGTTCTCTGGTTTTTCCCCTCCATATTTAGGAAGGCGAGTTTAAAGTGTTTGGCTGCTGTACATTTACACGTGATAATCCACTTCTTTGAGCTGTCATTTGCCTGATCTTGTAAAATGTAAACATATATTTTAGTCTAAGTTTAGGTCACTACCTCGTCGTGCGCCGTTTCGGTCTGAATAGGCGCTCGCTAACAGCACTTGCCCCAACAGTCCGTTAAAAAGCTACACGGGGGAGCTTCGTATTTTATTTGTTTTTGGCAACGTAGAAATACACGCCTAACTCTACATGTCCACACGTATCGACGTGTTATCACCATGCGATGAAATAGACGCTTAGATGTATCATTTAGAGCAAAGTATTAGACTCATCCGTCCAGGAGATGGATCGTGCAATGATAATAATCTACAGGGCCCAAGTAGTCATCATTGACAGCCATTTGTCAGTCTTGGACATTTTATTTTCTTCTCTTTACCATATTTCAGCATTGGCTGGTCAGTGCAGTCCAGGCTGTGAAGGGGGAATGATGGTGAAGGTGGTGAGGGTGGTGAGGGGTGATAGAGTGGGGAGCGGTGGTGTAGTGGTTAGCACACTGCGCTACAAACCCCTGCGACTCGATTTAGATTCCCGCTCACGGCCAACACCAGTGACGATTATCTGAACAGGTCCTGGGCCTCCCCTAAGTCGACTCAGACTCAAATTAGTACCTGGTGCGATGTTTAACATCGCCACTAGGGAGACAAAGGCGGACGGGCGTGGTGTTGGCCACCCACCCCCTCGTGTGTCGTGCCGGCCTTCATAGGTGCTTCCAAACTGCACTTGCCCCTACAGTCTGTGAAGGCTATATGGGGGATCTTTGCTCTTGTTCTAGCCAGGACTGCCTGCGGTCACGAATTGATTAAAACAAACGACAGAACGATTAGTGTGGGTTGTGAGAAGTTAATTGACCATCTTGGCTGATGGGATGTAAAAAAAAACTAGCATGTTATTTTTGTTGTTGTACTGTACTGCACTTCTGTGTTCCCACTTCAATGTTCTTCGCTCTGAGGCAAAGCCCTAACTGGCTGGTTTCGACATGCGGTGTCTCATCAGTCTCGAGTTTTCTCTCATTGAAAGCAATGCTGCTGACATGACGCACTCCCCAGCAGACCCTGTCACTGGGGGTGGTGGATCACGCACAGACGGTTGTGAAACTCCCTTTTCCGGTGCGCGTCGAGGCGGAGCCGTTCCCTGGCTCGCCAGGAGACATCAGTACAGCAACCATACGTGAACCCCACCCGTTCCGTCTGCACGGGGATCGAGTGTTTCTCCCTCGCACACGCCATGGGTTTTCTCCGGGTGCTACGGTTTCCTCCGCAGTTGAATGATAAACACAACTCTTCATTGATTGGCCAAAAAAAACACGTTCAAACTAAGAGGACCGCAGAGCTCGGGAAATTGTACGTTTGTTGATCTTCTTCCGCAGCGTACGTAGCCAACCGTGCGTATAGCAGGCGCGGGAGAAAGTCAGCAAACTAAACACAAAAAGCAGTTCTAAAGAAATTAGTTTTCAATCTAGATTTAAAAGTGCGTAGCTCCCAATATCGTAAGGAAGAGCGTTCCAGACGGCCGCAAAAGCGCGTCTGAAAGCGCGCGATGCTGAGCAAAAAGCCGCAGCAGTTGTTGGTAGCAAAGGCACCTCATCGCCGAGTGACTGCTGCTGCAGCAACAGTAGCTGCTGCTGCTGCAACAGTAGCTGCTGCTGCAACAGTAGCTGCTGCTGCTGCAACAGTAGCTGCTGCTGCTGCAACAGTAGCTGCTGCTGCAACAGTAGCTGCTGCTGCTGCTGTTAGAGTAGCTGCTGCTGCAACAGTAGCTGCTGCTGCAACAGTAGCTGCTGCTGCTGCAACAGTAGCTGCTGCTGCAACAGTAGCTGCTGCTGCTGCTGTTAGAGTAGCTGCTGCTGCAACAGTAGCTGCTGCTGCAACAGTAGCTGCTGCTGCTGCAACAGTAGCTGCTGCTGCAACAGTAGCTGCTGCTGCTGCTGTTAGAGTAGCTGCTGCTGCAACAGTAGCTGCTGCTGCAACAGTAGCTGCTGCTGCTGCAACAGTAGCTGCTGCTGCAACAGTAGCTGCTGCTGCTGCTGTTAGAGTAGCTGCTGCTGCAACAGTAGCTGCTGCTGCAACAGTAGCTGCTGCTGCTGCAACAGTAGCTGCTGCTGCAACAGTAGCTGCTGCTGCTGCTGTTAGAGTAGCTGCTGCTGCAACAGTAGCTGCTGCTGCAACAGTAGCTGCTGCTGCTGCAACAGTAGCTGCTGCTGCTGCAACAGTAGCTGCTGCTGCTGCAACAGTAGCTGCTGCTGCTGCTGTTAGAGTAGCTGCTGCTGCCTTCCCTCTCCTCGTCTGTGGTCCCTCCACCCTGGTGCCTCCGAGTCGTCCTCCCATCGCTCCGCCCGCCTACGAGAGCGAGAGAGCGGACGTCCGCGCCACGGCAGCGACACCGCGCCTACGATGTTGCCGCTCGTACGATCAGCTCGGCCGGCTCGTCGAGGGCTCACGCGCGAGACAAACCAACACCTGCGGAGGGCACCGAGAGTCGTTTGGCACGCGGACTCCCGCAGACCCTCGTGGGGGGGGGGGGGGGGGGGATAGCTTGGCAAAGACGCGACAACGGCGGAACGCGATGAACATTTGACGCGTTCCCAGTTACATCTGCACATCCGTTATTATCGCGCGGCTCCTTTCCAGGCCGGGATGTAGTGGGGGGAGGGAGCGTGGCGGGTGTAGGGGGGGGGGTAACTGGGGGGTGACGAGGGGAGGGAGAGAGCAGATTGAGCTGCGCAAATGGGGTCATTGATCCAGAGCCCACAACTAAACTCCAGAGGGCCCCACGAAAATAAGCAAATTAATTCCTAACATTTAATTTTCTGTTCGTGTATGTAAAAGTAGGACTGTCGGTTCACATTATCGCGTGGTAATTGTAACTCCCCGACAGCACTTTTCCCCGACTGGCTGCATCCCTCTACGGGGGAGCTTTGCCTTTGTGGATGTGTAACACATCACAATCAGAATACGCATTTATGCTGGAGGAAACCGAGGAGCTGTGAAAGCTCTTGTTCGCAGATGTCCATCAGCAGCGCGGAGAGACAAAGTCGTCCGAGCGCATGGATGTTGCTGCTGCTGCTGTGGCCGAACGTGGAATGGTTAGACGCAGTGACAACAGAGAGGCCGCCTGTACCATTGCGATCTCACGGTGCGGCAATTTCAACGACGGCCACGTTTCTGACACTTTCCCATAACCCGCATCCGTCCTCCCGCGAGCTAACACCGCGCCCGGCCGCCTTTGTCTCCCCGGCGTTGATGTGTACGCACCGCGGGAGGTACATTACTTATTTAAAAGCCCGAGCCGCGTGATTCTAAGCCGTAAATCCCGAATCGGTTTATCGGTCAAACCGCCGCCGACAATCAGCCGCGCGTGGAATCGACCTCACACGTGTCCCCCCCCCCCCCCCCCCCCCGGGCATCATAACGCAGCGTGCGCTAACCGCTGCGCCACCGCTCCTCTCCGTTTTTAGTCTGAGAGGCACAGACGCGCGCGTCATCGCGGTGCTAAGTGGATTGACTCCGGGGTGCCTTGGCCTTAATTGGATTTTTTTTTATCGCGGTTGTATATTTTTTTTGGGGGGGGGGGAGGTGAGATGGCAGTGGGGGGGGGTACTGCACGTGGTTGTTCCACTGGCGAACATTCGGAATTGTGCAGCGTGGACCTCAGTCGTTGGTACTCGAGGAGAAATTGGCCGTGACCTTTGCTCACCAATGGACAATGCCCCCCCCCCGCTCCCCCCTTCCGCCCCCCACATGACCCACCCTCCCCACCCCTTCCATCCCCACTCACCCGTTTCGTATACGGCGCCCTTTAATTCGAGCGTGGCAACAATCCCTTTGTGCCGCGGTGGTGTCTCCGTTTTTAATTACAGAATGACGACCCTGGAGACCACAATCGCGTAGTAACAATTACCATTATTTAAATAGACATTTAAGGTTATTTGTGTATGTATATATGTAATTACGAGGTTAATTAAAACTAATTGGCGCGATGCGGAACGGCAATGCCCTTGAATCCGGCCACCCGAGTTATATTTCTCACCCGCGGGTGCGTGCAACATCAGCGGCGAATATTTGACGAAGTCTCGTGCCTCTGCTGGGTCGATTCAGCATTGAGCGAGTAGGCGTACCTGTGGTGTGATGTGGGAAGAAAACAAAATCACCAACCGGGAAGACAAAGGCGGCCGCGCGAGGTGCTCAGCTCACCACAATAACCTGCCGATCTCGTCAAGGAGCGTAAACCTTCAAGCCAATTCCGGTCATCATCGCAGCGGCTTCTGGCTAACCATCGAAGGAAGACGTTCACCGCATCGCGCACTTTCACATGCACTTCTGCGGCCGTCTGAAACGCTCTTTCTTCTGAGATTAGGAAGCCAATGGAGCTATGCACGTATAAATACAGATTGAAATTTAATTTATTGAGAACTGCTTTTTGTGTTTAGT